GAAGGATGGCAAGTCTATTGAAGTTAAAGAGAAACTCTGAAACGAACTTACATTGGCATTGGCAGGAGGTAAGGTGCCTGTTGGATTCGAATGATCATTAAGCAAATTGAAAAACTCGTTAAAATCACCCTGAACTAAATAAAAAGTATCCTCTCCCACTTCATAGCACTCATTTTAAAAATAATCATGAGTTGTGGGTAAAGGTTTTATATTCATAATATCATCATGAGTAGATTTAAACTGTTCAAAAGTATCTCTGAGTTGTTGAAGCCTAGAGTCAGCCTGACCCCTGGTCATTTTTACCTGGCCAAGTTTCTTAAAGTTTGTAAAGAAACCTTTAATTTTGTTAAACAGTTTAACTTGTACCTCGTAAAAGTTATCCATTTTGATAAGGTAAATTTTAATTCAATTAATAAATATTCAATAAATAAATACAAACCACGCACCTTAGCCAAACTTGACTCAGACAAAAGCTAACTAATTCAACAATAACGCTAAAAGACGGTAGTGTTCTTAATTTTTACAAGTGCTTACATAAAGTTAAGTTCGCAAAAATATATTCAAGTCAATCGGTAAACAAAAAAACGAAAAACCATAAGGAACTGATATTACATACCACAAAATATACAATTTTACAAACCGTGTAGACAGGACCAAGTATTCGTAGTTATGTTGAGTTCGAAAGACCTGCGGGACTTGACAGCAGCGGTGCTGACTCAATAGCCTGTATCAGGTGGCAGCAGCATACGCTGAAGATGAAAGGACCCGTGGAGCCAGCAGCAGCAGCAGTGTTGTCTCAATAGCCTGCAGAGGCAGGCAGCAGCACACGCTGACGATGACCAAAGCACGAGCGGTAGCAGCGGTGTTGTCACAATAGCCTGCAGAGGCAGGCAGCAGCACACGCTGAAGATGAAAGGACCCGTGGAGCCAGCACCAGCAGCGGTGTTGTCACAATAGCCTGCAGAGGCAGGCAGCAGCACACGCTAAAGATGAAAGGACCCGTGGAGCCAGCAACAGCGGTGTTGTCTCAATAGCCTGCTGAGGCAGGCAGCAGCACACGCTGAAGATAAAAGGACCCGTGGAGCCAGCAGAAGTGGTGTTGTCTCAATAGCCTGCCGAGGTAGGCAGCAGTTCACGCTGAAGACGACCAAAGCACGAGCAGTAGCAGCGGTGTTGTCACAATAGCCTGCAGAGGCAGGCAGCAGCACACGCTGAAGATGAAAGGACCCGTGGAGCCAGCAGCAGCGGTGTTGTCTCAATAGCCTGCTGAGGCAGGCAGCAGCACACGCTGAAGATAAAAGGACCCGTGGAGCCAGCAGAAGTGGTGTTGTCTCAATAGCCTGCCGAGGTAGGCAGCAGTTCACGCTGAAGACGACCAAAGCACGAGCAGTAGCAGCGGTGTTGTCACAATAGCCTGCAGAGGCAGGCAGCAGCACACGCCGAAGATGAAAGGACCCGTGGAGCCAGCAGCAGCAGTGAGTCCCCGAAATAAACAATGGACTCCATTATAAGGGCATAACAATAATGTTAAAAAAATTAACTTTTATAAAAGTTTTGCATGGCGACGCTGAAAAGACAGTTGTAAACGAAGGTAGTCTTACTATGTCAATATTAACTTATAAAAAAACTCTTACGAGTGATTGTTTAATCAGCAAAAAATTTAAAAGATGTGCAGCAAGTTATGAACCTGCAGCGCTGCAACCTGCATAGGATAAATACAGTACCTTAAGAGCCTTAGATAATAAGCAATATGTTAAAAATTCTTTGGAATCTGTAGAGTTATTGAATGAATTTTTAATTCTAGATGATTTTAAAGAAATTGTATCTGCCAAGCAATTTACTTTTGTAAACCCAAATCATGGTTCTATCTTGGTAGATTTGTTAAGTACATTCGTTTTTGACACTACAAGTAAAATAGGATCTAATAGAAAGTCTAGTACTTCCTTGATTTAAATAATTTCTGATGGTTTTGAAGCTCTTGAATGTCAAGATGTATCTGTCGATTCACAAATAATAAAAAAAGCACTAACATTTTTAATAGTAATAATTTTAAAAAATATCTTGCACTTGTTAGAGACGAAAACTTGTAATTAAATTAAATAAAAAATTTATAGATTTCTCTTAATCTGAACCAATGATTTACTTGCTTAAATCTACAGTTCTATCACAATTTACATACGCTTCCGTAAACTAGTTACCTTCCATACAGTGGCACTTTGCTCAATAAGACAAAATTCTGCATCATGCCCTTATATTAGCCTATTACAAAACAGGTAACCCGATATCATACATAAACCACAACTTCTCAACCTGTTACTTTAGATTTTTCTTGCTCTACTGTCGTAACTTACACAAATATTGTGATGGCATACTAGTTTTTATACTTACACACAACCAGCTTATAATTTCACAATATATTACAGAACACAGTGACATATATAAGTATCTTTACCACCCTGTTTTCCCGTTAAAAACGTGTCTATAATACGACCACACAAAACCTGGCCAATACTGCTATCTTAACTTTATCAAAAAATAACTATGGACGTTTACATATTTCTTACTAGTTTAACTCTTTTTTAGTTTTAAGAAAGTGATAAATCTGTTTGCTTCACTCTATAACTATTATTCACTTTATATATACCTTAACACTATACGTAATATTAGGCCTAACGTTGCTGTTTTTGGTTTTTCTTTGGAACAAAGTTCCTTTTTTCGCGTTATAAGTTTTGGCCGAATGGGGGCTAGAACAAAAAAAGTGTAACAAGACTTTTTTCTAACCCCTTTATAGTAATACAGCCATGTATGAAGCTATATACGTTTCCGCAGGCAGCTTTGTCTCTCTTTATGCGTGCGTATCAAAAGACCCGACAGCTCTCTTTTGTTCAGCATCATTCAGTTGTACTCGGTCAGTAGCTTCTCCTTCCCAGGCCACGTACCATCAGCACTACCTTATACACATTTACAGCGGCCGCTGTAAGTATATACGTATAGCTTAAATCAACAATATAACGTACTAATCTCTTCCCGCTTCCCACACCCCACGCTATTACACCGATTTCACTGGCTGTAAAAATGTGTGTTTAGATTATTGCCCAAAAATAAAAAGTACGATTCAATCTCATATTTTTTAGTAAAGCAAAAATTTCTCATTTTCCTACAGAATTTCCCCAGGAATACAGAAAAAATAGTTTTTTCTAAACAGAAGTTAACTTTATTTGTTTATTTAAAAATTTATGATTAGTTGCCAATTTTAACTTAGATTTTCGCTTTTATGTCTTTTTCTATTGCTCGTAGAATATTTATAAGACCGCCAATCTTTTTGTTATCAAGTTTTCTACTAGATATACATCTTTGTAAATTTATTATTAAGTATTATAACACACGAATGGTAACAAAGGGAAAAAAATATTATTTTAACCAAAAAACTTTTGACCGGCAAAGAAAAAAGAACTACCATCTCAATTTGAAAGTAACCATAAGAAAACACAGATATAATGTTGCACAATAACAAGTTATTTTTAAAATTAGAGAATAATTATTAGTTTTTGTTAAATAATTCTTTAAAGTGATACTTCAAAGCGTTATCACAAACTTAATTGTTGGTTCACAAAAATAATTGTGCTTTCATGTTGACACAGTTACAATTCATGTTTTAATTTTTTTATGATTTTTTAGGACATATGCAAACACCAAAAAAAATGTATCACCGTACTCGAACGTAATACATACTCAAATTACTTAGTTGATTCACTCTTAATAATGTGCTGTTTTTTTCAAATGTTTTTGTAACTTTTCGTAATTTATTGTGTACATGACAAGTGTATTTAGTCATTAATTTTCTTGTTTTCCTAACTTGACATTTTATCCTACACAGTATTTTTGTATATAGCCAACGTGTACAAAAAAGCGAATGGAACTTCGTTCCAACCAGGGGTCCATGGACCCCTCATGCTTGATCTTTTTCTCGTTATAGTTTATTTTCAAAGTATTTCATATTTTGCTCTGAATGATGGACCTCGCTAGTGCTTCACGTTATTTATTTAATGATTATTTAGTTCTTAATCAGTTCCTATTGTTGTAAATCATACTTTGTTTGTTCAGATACTTTTCAAACTAAATTATTCTTATCTTACAAGGTTAAATAAGGGTATTATTGCGATTTTTTTAAGTAGTTAGCTTTAAACGTTTGTTTAAGAAATTTAGTTTGTCAAGTCGTTGTATTTTTTTTTTTTTTTTTTTTTTTTTACCAGTTTTAGACTCGAAAAATACTGAACGGCAGTATTTCAAGGGAAGAATTATTGGACGTGCTGCTGGGTATCCCGGCTACCAACGATAATCTTCCTGAATGGACAAGCTACTTACGTCGAAATCCACCTTAAACCACCAAGATTACCGAGTGCCAAGAAAAAATGGGCGTTCTGAACGCCAACGTTACCAGCATAATACCAGGAGACGTCGTTCAGCCAGAGTACAACCTGCTCTAATACTTCAGGGTTTTATGACAGTTGTTTACAGAAGAGTTAGCTTTTTCAAAGACATTAATATAATTGGTTTTTTATGATATTTTGGTGGATATTGATGTATAGAATGGCACTTGAAAACTCAAATGAAGTGAAAACATTTTAAACTGAAATTTTGGTAGATAGATCACAAATGTTTATTAAAACATATCAAACATAATAAAAAAAATTAACGAAAAAAGTTTAATTCAATCCAGCATGTTTCCTTATTTAGACTATTACTGAGTAACCATCATGACCTATTTGCCTAAAGGATGGAGTTACCTGTGAATCGTGTTTAACTTTAACATCTAGTACAGAAATAAGGAATAATAATAGTTATCATACGAGTTGTGCTCAAGTTTGGTTACACAATTTTAACAATAGTTTGCCTGCTCTCCGGTATCCCATACCTTGCATCATGTTGTCTGTAACTTCTCAAAGTATTTTATCTCTGAAAATATTGAATTAAAGTTGTACGATTTATAAATTTATTGGTGACTATGGGCAAACATACCTTGCACACGAACTTTTGTACAATTGTTTATTATAAAATGAAACAAAAAAAGTTACAGAATCGCTGACCACATTAAAAAAATGCGAAGTTAGTGTTTGTTGTCAAAAAATATAACAGAGATGATTAAAAAACGTTTAGCGTGTGTTACGTGTGTATCTATACAAAGCAATGTGTACCTAAAAGTTACAAATCTGTTCAAAATAAAACATAAGTTTAAATACAGTTCACAAGACAAATTCTAGTTCTTACTAGTAAATGTACTGAAAAACTAATTTTTGCTGTGTTATTGTTTTATGAGCAAAGTTTTATGTACTAATTATAAGGTGTATCTTGGTTCATAGGCTCGTCAATGGAATATCATCGCTGACTTGTATCCCGCGACCTATAGTTAATTCCCCTACTTTTCATATCTCTGATGACACCAGCTGGTAATCGTCCAGATACTGAAATCGCATAAACACCTTTTTGGAATCGATCTGAGAACAGAATTAAAAATTATTTGAAATTAGAAAATATTCATTTTGAAAAAAATTAATTTTTACAGACAAACAAACATTTTACTGCTTGTTAACATCAATTAAAGTCAAATTACGTAAGTCGTTTCATTGTGAATGTAGTAGAATCGACTTTATTAAGTGGGTTTGAGTAGTTCAGTCGATTTTATTGATTAGGAGTAACCTTAAGTTTACTTTTTCATGTGAAAGTTGTAAATGAATTAAAATAAAGAAATATGCATTCAACTATATCGATATCAATCAACATTTGGAATTACATCAAATTATTTGGCTCGTTCAGTCATTTTTAAAATTTATTTTTTTAAATTGCCTTAGAGATTAGATTTATTTTAACAATTATGTAATGTACCACATACATTTTTTTTTAAAGACCACAGATATAAACACGCACTTCTATTAATTTAGAGTCAACCTGGACGGACAGTTAATAGAGTAAATCTATTATATCTAAAAAAATCTATTCTTCCTATTTTAATCGCACACCCGCTTCACTCCATGCATGCTTCGCGCATCAACTCTAATAAACAGATATACAAACTTTTCTAAATATACTTTTAATTTTTATTTTACTTAGCTTCTGTTGAATCTTAATTTTGATGAAAAAGGTCATTTTATTATTTGAAATCGAACTCGTAGATCACGACAGAAATAGTAAATAATGTCAAAGCCTTGTCAAACACTGTTAAAATGGTTTATTTTCTTACCATTTTGTAATCGATAAAAGATAGAGTAACGATAAAAATCTTTTGCTCTTTAGACTTAGAGCTGAGGTACAGATGAGGCAAGAAAAACATCTGCCACAAATCTCACGAAAATTGCAAAATATTGGAGTTATTCATAATGACGTGGCACACGAGTTCATGTGACACAACTTGAATTGTCATTATAAACGTTCACATTGAAAAGGTGTCACGCGAAATTCAACTATGAGTGAACAGTGAACAGACCTGAGCAAAGCAAAGACCTAAGACTGTAATAGTGCAACTATTTTAGAATATAAATAATAATTCAGTTATAATTTGTGAAAATTCGAGATGTTTTCGTGTCATCGTCTAGTCATGACAAGTTGTATCCGTGTATGAAAATTGCCACATGTACAAAATTTATACCACCCACTACCTGACCTAATAGAAAAAAAACAAAAAGTTGCATACTAGAAGTGGAATTGGCAACAAAATTAGAACTTATTTACCATCTAAAAATAATTTTTTAAGTAAGTGGATCCCCTCCAAAAAAGAAAATGCCACTACTTTGCCAAACGATTTATTAAGATAATGTAAACACAGAACCAGAGTGGCAACAGTTTGAAGATCCAGTACAGGGGGGAAATTAACTTTTTTTCATAAGAAGTTTGGGAAGATTTAACACAAAAAAATTGGTCTATTCGTTTTGTACTAACTGTAGCACTAAAAATGAGGTAGTATCGCAAACAAGGGCATATGTATGTATGTATATGATGTACAACGAAATATTTTTACTAGACTGTACCTTTACTCTCTCTCTCCATCCCCCCTTTCCTATGATGCTCGCCAATGAGCAGACGTGTTATTCTTCTTGAATACAAATCGGAAGTCGGGACGAGAACAATGCCGAAGGTGGACGAGACAGAGTAAGAAGTCGGTTTTCAAGGGGGAGAGAAAACAAAAATCAAGAGCAAAATAAGAAACAAGCGCAAAGAGTGTGTGTGGAAAGTACATGAATTTAAGCTCGGTTTTAATGTTTGTTGAGGACAAACGTGCTGTGAGCTTTGATCCTTCTCCGCTCACGTGGCGGTACTCGATTTAGTCGCATTCCACTAAACATTGGCATTGTAACACGTTTGAACATTCATAACATTTAATCCAGAATCATATTTTACACTATGAAATACATAATTGTTTCACTAAATAACTTTAAATGAATCTCACCTACAAAACTTTGTAGCCGTTCGCACTAATTGGTGCGCAGAAAGTAGGTGTGGGTTGTAACATGAACATCTTACGGGAGATACCTATGCAGTAATTAAAAGCGTAGTAAGTGGTACTGATTTTTTAACCGTGCACAGTTAAACAAGCAATTGATATTAACTCTAAATCAACATTTAAAAAAAAAAAAGAAAAAAGAAATTAGTGACGTTACAATAAAACGTTTTCTATTTACATCAAAAAACATATGAACTTAATATTATAACTAATTTAGCACAGTAGAAAATTTTAATTCACTGTAACTAAGGAGGTTCCAGCGAGTAGGGACCAATCTGCATCTAGGAGCCCAAATTTGCTCAAAAAACTTTGATAGTTGGCACCAGTGCCACAAAAAAATCATAGGCTAACCTACGAAAATATGACGACTTGATAAATTATCAACAGAATATCTCAAAATTTTTTCCGGTTATCTATAATTTTCACGATGGCATTTGAAAAATGAGGTTATAACCTACAATCCGTGTATATTGATAATATCCAACACTTTAGATTCGATTTGCAAATCATTAGTCTCAGTGTATCTGCCATTAGCGCTCTAGTTGAAAGAGCGAGCTTTAAGCACGAATTCCTGAAGATTTTGTCTGGTTAAGGATATAAAAAAGGATACTCTGAGATTTAGCATAATTTAAACTACGTTGATATAGAGTACAGTCTGTGATATATGTATAGCTGGAGCCTCGCGAATGTGCAAGAGAGAACTATATGAGTGTACAGTTACTCTTGACTTTTTTTTCTCTACGTGACTGGACTGCTTAAAATAAGCAGTACATCTTGAATAATTATATGATTTAAATTCATATTCATTTATAGCAGTACTACGTGAAAGAGTCATAATGTTTGTTAGGTAGAAGTATTGCAATAAATGCATTTAATTTGCTGTTAAAAGGGTAGTCTTAAACCAAAAACTGCGACAATACACTTACTTATAAGATGAACAGCTAATGATATGCAAGCATAACAAAAATTTTTGGTACTGTTAATTTAGTTATAAATAATGCAGGGATACAAAGTTAACATGCATTTTCTAATGATGCAAAGATTCAAAGATAAATACGATCTTCAGTAATTGAAAAAGATGCAAGGATAAAAAGAAACATTGGCATGAGGCTAGAAATTAGGCAAGCTTAGCCCAGAGGGCACTAGAGGGATGAGCCTCATCTAGTTTGCAGTAGAAAATATACCTGTACATAATTCTTCCAAACACGGTACTGCATGTGCAGACATGCTTCCTGTTTTGAAGTGCTCTAATTTCATTGGTTAAAGGCTCTTCTCTTTAGCACCTTCTGAGTTGAACTTGCTAGACTGCCTGAGTTGAAAACTCCTTAGTTTAATTGTAAGCTCCCTTAAAAAAGATGCAAGAATGAAAAATATGCCGGTCACCATAAATAACATGAATATTTGATAATGCAAGGATGAAAACAAACCTTAGTACTTTAAATTAGCCAAGAAATAATAAGCGTAAAGTACATCGTTAATTCTGCGTTGATCCCACGTTAAATCTATGTTTCATGCTGATTCGATGTTAAGGCAGAGTTGACTCAAGTCGATTTTACTTTAAAATCATGAATTTTTCAAGTTAGCATGGCAGTGGAAATTTAAATAAATTTTTTCGAAGGTAACATCTTCGATACTGTTGAGTTGATAACAAATCAATGTTGATTCAACGTTAAATCAGCATTGATCTTTAACATAAAATCAACATAGAACAAATGATGTAATTTACGTTTTACTTTGACATTGGTTCAGCATTAATATTTTTACTAGGGTTTCTAATGATGCAATGATGCAAGTGGATGGAAAGTTAAACAATACCTATAATAATTTGTATTAAGCTCATTTTTCTGATGCTTGTTTTGCAGAACATAATGCAAATAATGTAGAAGACATGAACGGTTAAATTTATGTTCTAAGCATTTTAGAAAAGTAATAAGTTCTGCAGTATTATCCTTAAGAAATGCTGATCTCAACCAGATGAACAAAAATATTGCTAGTTCACTTAATAAAGTGACAAATAATATAATACAAGCTTCGATAGTACAGAAAATTGTGATAATTCTGGTTTTAATGATGTGTTACTATCTGAGAATTTAAATAGGTTGTCACCACCATTAGTTCCTCCTATAGATCATATATCTTACTTAGTATATGTAATTGAATAGCTATATGCATATTCGAAAGCTCAACATTAGTGAAGGATTATGTAATAAAATCAGGTATACTCCTCAGAAACTGACAATCATTTTATATTTAAAAGAAAAAACGCATGTAGCTTTTGTAATTGCAACATATAAAGCGCAAGGGCAGACTTTTCACAAAACTACTGTTAACAAGGGCGTTCAGTACATTAGCAAGAGTTTCTACTATACTCACAGCTCTAACTCAATACATTTTTATTATTTTATACATTCATGGCTAATTAAACACAAGATAATAAAAAGTGGCAAAAAGCGAGTACTTTGAGGAATATCATTTCAGCCTAAATTGATAATAATCCATTGAGGACTGAAGTTGAAAAGTTGCGGTGTGTTCATTTCTTGGTTTCTTCTGTTCCCCGTTTATAGTTTAGTAATTTTGATTAATATTCACTAAAACAATATTTGAGCAAAATAATGTAAGGATTTTGTCAGATTGTCACCAAGTAAAAAAACTAATCGGAACAATGAAAATAATATAATATACTCATATAGTTCTCTCTTGCACATTCGCGAGGCTCCAGCTATACATATATCACAGACTGTACTCTATATCAAAGTAGTTTGAATTATGCTAAATCTCAGAGTATCCTTTTTTATATCCACTAATTGACCCGGCTAAACTAATTCTTTTATTAACGTATCTGACAACAATTTTTTAATACTCCTAATGACTGCCGTTAGAACTGTCTTGTAAAGATTGACTTTTTGGAGGTCCTAAAATTTTCTTAATAAGAAAAGAGTATTATTGTAGTTTTTCAATTCATATTATTGTAGTACATTATTCTCTGCGTATGTTACTATT